CTTTTCATAAATATCTGAAGTTACTAACAAAACCAACAAAAAGTGCTAGATGGAAAAAAATATGTGATTTGGTACATCCAAAATACCTTCCTTAGGTTTTAAGCACCTGAAAACCTGCACAAACAGCTCATCCTCACCTGGGATCAGCAGTGCAAAACTCAAAATAATCATGGGCAGGTAGAGGATGTAGCTGTTCCTCCAGTTGCTCCTTAGTTAGACAAGGAGGAAGCCGCCGAATAACTACCTGCATATATAAAAGAAAATGGAGATTTATCTTTGATCCAAATACTGTAGAAAGATTAAACAAATCATATTAGTCCAGTTTAAAAGCTTTTCCTCAACCTGGGAACTTCAGTTGGAGCACTAGCCTCTTAGTAATTTACCTCCTTGGCCTTGCTGATGGAACAATTTCCCTATCTCAGTTTCTGCTAACATTGTAAAATCGTAGGGTAACTGAAATATTCTGATGAAGAGCTTGAGAACCACCACAATTTACCAAGAACAGAACGACCATAAAAATAAGATACTGACTCTATAAAACATTTACAGTATATATTTTAAAAAATATTTAGTTTAAACCAGCTTTTAAGTCTTTTATTACAACAACATTTTAATGTATTCAGTTTCTGTGTCCAGGTGCTGGCAGTGGGGGCTGCAGGGGTGGCCCCTGTGAGGAGAGGCTGGGGCTGCCCTGTGCCAGACACAGCCAGCTCCAACTGACCCATCAGCTGAGCCCCTCGGCTACGACGGTGGCACCTCTGGGAAAGTGTACTTACGACAGGACAGAAAAGGCTCCACAGCAATGTGTGAGACACAGGAGTGAGGGAAAAAAAGTGCGAGAAACAGCCCTGCAGACACCAAAGTGAGAGAAGGAGGAGGTGCTCGAAGCACTGGAGCAGAGATTCCCATGGAGGAGACCATGGTGAAGCAGGTTGCCCCCCTGCAGCACGTGGAGGACCATGGTGGAGCAAATATCCACACTGCAGCCCATGCTGCAGCACGTGAGGATGCCCCGCAGGGAGTGCAGCCCGTGGAGAGTCCACACTGGAGCAGGTTTTCTGGCAGGACCTGCAGCCCATGGAGAGGAGCCCACACTGGAGCAGGTTTATCCTGAAGGACTGCAGCCCACAGAGAAGACCCACGCTGCAGCAGCTCATGAACAACTGCAGCATCTGGGAGGGACCCCCACTGTAGCAGTTCATGTAGGACTGTATCCCATGGCAGGGACCCCATGCTGGAGCAGGGGAAGAGTGTGAGGAGGAAGGAGCAGTAGAGGAGTTGTGGTGCTCTGTCTGCACTCCCCATTCCCCATCCTCCTGTGCTGCTTGGAAGCAGGGGAGGTAGAGCCTGGGAAGGAAAGGGGGAGGGTGGGAAGGTGTGTTTCTCACCACTCTTTTTTTTTTTTTTATTATCAATGAAGCAAATTAATTTTCTCCAAGCTGTGTCTGTTTTGCCTGTGATGGCACATTGTAAGTGATCTCCCTTGTCTTCATCTCAACCCATGAGTTTTTTCATCTTATTTTCTCCCCCCGTCCTGCTGAGGAAAGAGAGAGAGAGCAGCTGGCTGGGGGTCTGGCAGCCACCCAAAGGCAACCCACCATGCTCAGGTGAACTCCCCAATAAGAAAGGCCAAGAAACCACATGGAAACCTTTGGGACAAAACGATGCCAGCACACAAAGTAGTATAATGGCCATCAACTTTCAGACAATCTTATTTCCATTTCTTGCCAATATCTGAATTTAACTTAAGGTATAGTGATTTTCAGTGCTTTGGTTTTCCAATTTAGAAAACGGGAATAAATCGAACCTCACAGTACTCTATGTAAGCATTCTTTGAAAAGTGCTCGAATAAAGCCAGGGAGGGAGAAATCCTCCTGTCCTTGCAGGAGCTGCTTTGCCTCAGCAACAGCCCACCTTGATTCCTGAAGAATTAAAGGTGAAAAAGCACGCAAATCTGCAGCGCTGCTGCTGCTGCTGGGGATCTCAAAACACTGAAGCCAACAAACACCCTCATTCCGCAGAGGAAGAAACACCCGTTTAACCACCAGCGCCTCCAAAGACGAGGCTCCGGCTGCCGAATAGGGCCCTCCTCACCGCAAACCCCCCCCCTCACCTTGGCACCTCTCCCACCACAGACGCCCC